GAGATCTCCAGTTCCTCCAGACCCAGGAGGCTGTGTTGTGCTGTAAATGTGTGAATTCACAGACATAATGATTTTACAGTTTATCCTTTTCAGTGGAAAGACTCCATAATATGCCAGAGCGATCACTCCGAGGCCTTCAAGCAGCAAGTTTCCTTTTCCTCTGAAAGGGCATGGGGGTGTAGAGAGGCTGTGCTGGCAAAGCCAATGTCTTCAGAGCATCCCTGCATAGCAAACATTAAAAGCAGGAAGGAGATCTGTCACCTCTAGAGCCACTAAGGAGCCAGGATATCTTTTTCCTGGCCACCACAACCACAGTCAATGTCACTGACACCTTCTTGCTCCTCTCCCCTATGGGCACTGTTTCCTATAATGGCCCCAAAAGGAGGGCACCGTCCTCATGGAGTATGTAATATAGCCCTGAAAATCCTCTAATTAACCCTTATTATATAATTCACAGCTTCATCCTGGCAGCTCCTGCCACAAAGGGCTCAACAGTGTCCAAAATACCAATTATCTCCCTGGCTGCCACTTGAGAAGCAGAGAGAAAGAAAAACAGGTGTCACAGGTAGGAAATCTTATGGATAAGAGTGACACAATACAGAAAATGTAGAGCAGAGAAACAAAGGAAACAGCTCTCTGCCCACCTTATCGCAAAGGGATGAGAAGCTGGGAGCTCATGTGTCTTCTGGCCCTATGTCCAATATGGGCAAAGCCCAAAACGAAACCCCTTTTCCCCCAGACAAACAGATACCGTGACATTAAGCAGCCCCTTGCTTCATCTGAAGGTACGCACACACCAGGTACAGCCACTCCAGCCTTTAGAGATTTAACCTACGCCTCCTTGCCCTGATGAATCCATCCATGACACAGTTCAGCTTGGCTTGGCCAATTTTTTCAGCTGCATCACTGTCTTGCAGCTCAGGACCTTGGTCCAACAGTACCATTTTTGGATGTTAGGAATCCCCAGTCATCAACTCCAGGTGTTCGGGAAGGGAAAGAAGAGAATAGAAGGAAAGAACATAGTAGAAAGAAATCCCCCAGGCCCTCTGTGATATGGCARCAGCAGGCAGCTGGGACAGGTTTGTGCCTATTTGCTTGCACGTCTGTGGGTAAGTCTGACTCCTCCTCAAGCTCCTTGCCTGACTGTGCTTTTCCCTCCTTCAGCCATTTCACCCCAGAGCTCCCCAGATCCCATCATCAATTCTTCAAGTTTCGTCTTATTATTCAGGTCCCATTTGTCCCTCAATATTCATGGCAGAGCCTCCACTGTCTTTGGAGCTGGAGCAAGACAAGTGGGACAAGGCACTGGGCTAGAAAATTGGGTGCAGAAGTTGCAATGAATTCTTAATGATGCCCTTTCTGGCAATGTTTACAGAGGGATGGAGTGGAATACTTTTCTTTTTTGAAGTGTTTCTTGTTTAAAAAGTGATGAGGCTTTTGATTCATTTTCCACAGTAGCATTGGCTGGGCACCTGCTTATTTCTGCCTTGCTTAGCAGGAGTCACCAATACAGCTCCTCGGACTCATTTTAGGCACCATTCCTTTCTSCTTTGGGAATGCATGTTAACTGTCAGTCCCAGAGGAGCCTGGCTATCCTACTGCAAGATGTATCACATAACTGTGTTGTGAGAGACACACCCTGTCCCAAGAAGCCTGACAAAGAAAGGGAAGACACAGATCCCTGTTGAATATTTGGGAAGCCAAAGATTAGAGCATTCTGCATCCTGCCATAATCCCACCAAACCTGTGGCAGAACTTCGAGTTTGTCCTGTAGGGAGGCAGAAGKGATAGTGAACTATCCATCATTTTAACTGTGTATGTGAACCTGTATAAAGGTATTTGAGTCTTCATTTCAGTTCTTTTACTCCTTCACTCCTAAATATTTCACTTTCAGGCTGGCTGTTTGGGTTTTTTTCCCTCAGTTTATGTTTYCTTTGAGGGTGGGAAGATGCAGAGGCTGCTCAGTGACATCCTCTGCCCCTTGCTGTGGGTGAGCATGGCCTGTCCACTTTGAGTCCCAAACGCCCTTGGGCTCTGTGAAGCTCCCAYGCTGTCCTCCAGCTCTGTGTAAACATCCCCCTTTTTGTTTGAATTTAAAGTGCATCCAAGACTTGGGGAAAGATGTTAGCCTGACCAGTCCCTAGCCCACACTGCGCTCACCCCCTTGAGAAACAGCCCTCAGGAAAAAGGCCAGCAGCGTGACCCTCACACCCTCAACTGTTTGTTCATTGCTCTTTTGAGCTGTTGGCTACTCGTTCCATTGGAGTCAGCATTATCTGGAGAGGAGAGATTTCTCACTCTGCTCTCTTAGGCTTGGCCTGCCCCTGAGGAGTCACAATTGCTCAGGGTGCCCAGGCACTTACTGCTGCAGAGAAGTATCCTCTGATCTGAGTTGGCTGTTGYAAAAGCCTCCAAGATTTGGGCGGGAAATCAAGACCCAGAAAGGTTCATAACTTCACAGTGAAAACAGGATTCATCTGCCATTCCATCAGAGATTGCTCTTCCAGTCCTTACAGTTGGTCCAGAAGAGGGCAATATTGCCTACTTGCCTGTCGATACCACAGCACTGAGGCACATGCACGCACAGGCAAAGAGGTGGCAACTGTCCCGAATTACTTCCAGAACAAGGCTCTGTGGCTAAGTCAGGTCTTTCTGTACTGCAGCAAGTTATGGCTTGGATAAGCCACTGAACTTCATAAGGGTGGAAAAGAAGCATGTCAGCATGAACCAACCACAAGAAAATACAAAATGGTCTTCCTGAGTCTGCATCCAGCCAAATGTGAGGCTGTCCAAAGTCGCCTTGCTCTTCTCCAGGGTGGGTTTGCTTAGCAGGCAACTCACTCTGGCCACCCTCACTCTGCCCCCTGCAGCCACTTCACTGCCCACAGCAAAGCCCTGGCCCCTCCTCTCACTCTATGATGCAGRTATCATCAAGCAAGGTTCTGGAGGCAGAGGTCAGTGTGGTTTGCCGCAGGAGCTGCAGTCTATTGGACACAGRCACATCCAGAGGCACTTGAGAGAACAATGCAGAGTCAGACACAGCTCACACCTCATCCCTTCCCTAGACACACACCAGCTCACACAACAGTGTGCAGAGCAGAGGATGCCTAAGGTCTCTGACTGGAAGCAGCCAAAGGCTGGTTAAATACAACCACTGCTTAACTCTTTCACCACAAATCATTTTGGCCCAGAATGCTGACTACAGTGCCTCCATGTCCTCTCAGCCCAACAGTCCTCACCTGGCTTCAGGACATTTATGATGACTTCAGCCTTGACAGTCTTCACTTCCCAAAGTTTCCCGCTCCCCCTAGACAGCATTTGCAAATACATCTTGTCCTTTCTCATCCCTGTGGCAGAGCAACCAAATGAAATGCAAGGACTGTGGAGATAAAATCGAATTTAGCAACAAAATAAACAGCATGAGGGCTCTCTACTGATTAGATTACGCCTCTTGATAATTTATGCATTAATTCCTCCCAAGGTCTGAGATTCCCTGTCTCAGAAGGCCCGTATTCCTGCACTTCAGAGATGCAGATGCCAGGAACTTCACTTTGACTGAAACATCCAGTTTTCCACCATCCATCAGATGAAGTTCTGATTAACCCCAGAAGAGCTCCTCTTTGTTATGCACCTTTGTTTATCCTTCAGAGATACACAGCCCAGCACCATTCCTTCCCACACTCCATCATTCTTCCCAAGTCCARTGGGAACATGTCAGACTCTGAAGCATCTGCCTGTAGTAGCATCTGCTCCTAGATCTGCTCTGAAATCAATTCAAGCATTAATAAGAGTCATCAGCTACTGCAGCATATATATTCAGGAGCTGTCATGCCCGCATCTTCCTAAAACCATTTATTCCCATCCTTCACTACACAAGGAGCAGAGACTGTGAGCTCAACACGCTCAAAAAGGAAGCCTAGAAGCCATGCCTAGGTCTGTCTAATCAAAGCTGGATTTGCAAGAGCAAAAAAAAAGCAACCCTCTGAGCCAAGGAGCCATACCACTCTCAGGAGAAGCTAGAAACATTAAGAAACAGGAGGCAGAGAAGAGACAAGACATGCAAGAGAATGGCTGCTATGTCACCATACACAAATTGGCCTAATTATGTGTATAAATGCACCAATAGGCATGGATTTGCTGGCTGTATTCTTGACTTTAAATATTGATGCTTAGGAAGAGCTGAGATCAGGATATCTGCTGGTGGATTAGGCTACAGATTGCTCAGTCATTACCCACGGCTGGATCGCCTGCCTTGGAYTGCCATCCTCCAGAGAGCTCTGGAGCTCAGGCAGAGGATGCCTCTCACTGCTGGCTGAAGATTTGTTGAGTACGTAATGGGCAAAGGAGCTCTGCCTTGCACCCAAGCAGTGCTGCCTCCCTGCCCTGTGTGGGGCTGAACCTGGGTGCTGATCGGTGCAGGAAAGGGCTGGTATCAAGACAGAAATGACGACTGGGTAAAAATGAGGATGTGTCCAAAACAGGCAATAATCAAGGGCAGAAAACAGCATGTTTGGGGGAAGCAGGTGACCACTGGGTGCCTGGGAGAATCCTCCCATGCCCTAGTCCAAGTGTGTCAGTTTTGCCCATACCCTTTTCCATCCCATCCCATCCCATCCCATCCCATCCCATCCCATCCCATCCCATCCCATCCCATCCCATCCCATCCCATCCCA